GCAGGCCTGTCACCATAGACTCATCTCAAGAGGCTCTAAATTGTGTGTTGGCATTAAAAGGTAGTTACTGGTCGCTGTAATTATTCTTCCTGTTCATCGTGGCTTTGAAGTGACCCCTTCCTAAGACTATTCTAATGTAAAAAAATGGGGGTCAACCAGCAGTAGAATTTACTGGGGATTCAGTGGGAACATAGGCAGACTCTGTATCAGGGATAATATTCGACAAGTTGTATGTATGTTCCATGATTGTGGTCACGTAGGGTGGTCGAATCCATGACAACCATGACCACTTGGCCACCAACAAAATGCCATATGTGATCAAACTAAAAATATCAGTCGTTTATTCACACATATAATTAATATTGATCAGGCTTTCCTAAACATCATAAAACTAAGTTCCTGAGAATCACAAGTCGTTTGCTTTGCTAGGAACATCTAGCTGAATAGGAAGGGGTTTACAAAGCTCAACCAGGAGTTTTTTTAATCGTGACAATTCCTGTCGATCTCAGCAACAGAGAGTCACAATGCCGTCTCCTACACAACATCATCAAAACTGTCTGTCCAGCTTAGATAATGTTGCAAAGAGCTCTCTCACACACATACACAGATTGAGAGAATTGTTGTTGGTTGTTACACAAATAACCCTAGTTTTCCATTGACTTTTCTTCTGTCCCCAGTTTCTTACAGTGGAGTAATGTAAGGGATCTGTGCATAGTCAATATGAACAGGAAGAACGATTACAACAACCAGTAACACTTGCATTGTGCATGTGGCCATATGAGCATTAAGATAGACTTGAATAAATGTAAACTTATGCTTTATTGAACTCTCATATTCTCCACAAGGGGACTCTAATGAGGGCTGATTCCAGATGTCTGACTGGACAAAGACCAAGATATCTCTTGTCATGTGTTACTGTCAGTGTTTCCTATACATTGATTTTATTTCAAATGGCCAAAATCTGCTTTAATTGTAGGGCTGTGCAAAATGCATTGACTCGCTCAGGCCCTTCTTGCCTCTCTCTCTCTCTCTCTCTCTCTCTAAGGGGACTCTAATGAGGGCTGATTCCAGATGTCTGACTGGACAAAGACCAAGATATCTCTTGTCATGTGTTACTGTCAGTGTTTCCTATACATTGATTTTATTTCAAATGGCCAAAATCTGCTTTAATTGTAGGGCTGTGCAAAATGCATTGACTCGCTCAGGCCCTTCTTGCCTCTCTCTCTCTCTCTCTCTCTCTCTCCCTCTCCCTCTCCCTCTCCCTCTCCCTCTCCCT